AAATGTGGCCCCTGTTTATGAATAGTGTCAGGAACCCGAAACATGAAACATAACGTAATTCCCAGGTTCAGTAAGAGCAGTGCGCGTGGAAATGAGCGTACGGTGCATAAATTATGGAATTGGGATGTTGAAAATGACCTGAAACGTTATTTAAATTATCTGAAAAGGGGTTAATGAGAATTCCCAAAATTCCTAATTTTACCGTACAGCACGGCATGACGTACTCATGGACGGTAATGGCACGAGAAATTGATCCTTGTCAAGAGTAATTTAAAAACACCTGTTGGTTGGTAATGCCACACAAATTTTCAATTCATAATGTACTATATATCAATCTGATATCGTCGAAATACAGTCTGCCGCAAACTGTTGTCAACGATTTTTTTTTTTTTATAAATTTGAAGAAAGAGAGATGACGTCATCAAACTGAAAAATAAAGGGACACTTCCGAAAGAGAATTGTCTCAGCTATAACATACTCACAGGTGGGAGACAATCAATCAAGAATAAGTGAGATACGTTCAAACGAGTATAAAAAGAGTGACGTCATAAAGAACAAAATCAGTTTTTTTCTTAATTTAAATGGCAATAAGTTGACGTCACAATGTCCGATCAGTTATTATGATCTATAACATCATATCTACAACTCATATGCTTTCAGAATATGTAATAAAAATTGGGGGTCACCTTTCATCCTAAAGAGCTGTAACTGTTTAAAATTAGGCCTGATTTTAGCAAAATTTCACTGTATATCGGTACAAATGCGCACAAAGGTCACTATGTTTGATGCGTGCATACGGCATTGTTATTCGCCATAGAGTGATCGAAAAGATTGGAAACTTGTCAAAACAATGTCAGGAACCCAAAATGTGACAAAAAAAGTAATTTCTAGCTTCCATACGTGCTGCGTGCGTGAGAATGCGCACGAAAAAATTTTGAAATGCTCAAAATGGCCTGAAACGTGCTCTAATTTAATCTAAATGTGATTTCGAGCATTTTAAAAGTTTGACACACGCGTACGCGCGCATTATAAAGCCCACGCGTAAAATTAGGGTAAATTACATTTAACATTGACATGAAGTTAATGCTCACTTAATACGATTTCGAAATGGCTATTGGTTAGGCTGATATGATCTATAAAGTAAAAACGCAAAATTGCGCGTAGATGACGTCACGCATAACTGCGCACTTTGAAAACCTTATTCTGACTATTCCAGGCCAAGCTAAATGTTTGTTGAAGCGTGCACGTATGAATCTCATGCCAATTTTTAGATATCGTGCTAACAAAAATGGGGAGAACCTAGAATGAAAAAAAAAGATTTCAGACAATAACAAGAGGTGATCCGCTAGCGGAGCGGATCACCAATAATGTGGCCACTAATATAGTGAACTACCTATTTGACAAAAAATTTAATCAATAAGGGATTGATCGGAAAACAAAGACGTGTGCGTTGATCATTGTCTTACCAACGCGTCTGGTTTGATTCAACTGCGTTCGCTTTTACCATTTCTTTATCAGCAGCACCAGGATTTTATATGATTCAGCACAGCAGTTCTATATTTGTTCTGGGTTCGGTTGCTATATATAATCATAAATCAAACTGCTAGTTGCGGTGACCAGTTACTCAGTGATGATCTACATTAACTTTGCATGTGTATTGTTATTGAATGATTTGTTAGTAGTACGCACACTGAAATTCTTTGAAGATGACTGAATTGATTGCGGTTAATAAATTTTATTAGAGGTTAGTAGGAAGGCCTAACCTCCTGTAGACATTTGATTAATTAAAAAAATGTATTGTAAACATTATTATTAATTATTTCAGCATTGCCTTATTCTTCCATTCTTTTTTCAATCAATTTGTTACCTCATAACAATTATGCCTTTCTAGGCACCCCGTTGGGCAAAGCCTGGCGCCACCACTGGCACTATATCAAATTAGTGATCAGTCGGGGATAGAAAAATTCAGTGCAAATGAAATTGATGACATCACCACTGACTTATATAATAATGTATAACGTTACAGTTTGATTTTCGAAACATTTTCTGTAGAACCATTCAAATAACAAATTCAATAATTTAATAATTGTTTAAAAAATTTTTATAATAAAATATGATACGTATAATTTCCAACTAGATTAAACATTTTCTAATGTTTTTTTTTAATTACTGTGAATAGTGATAACAGGCCTTGATACATTAATTATAATTAATTACAAAATGTAATACGAAATTCTGCCTTGCAGGATCTTAAATGGGTAAACCTTGAAACAAACCTCTTCTACAATGAGGCTATTATTATGTTTAAAATATTTCATGACTTAGCACCATCATATCTTAGGAACAGATTTACCTTAAGAAATCCACAATACAATACAAGAACAATGGATGTCTTATATACTGAAAAACCTAAAACAGAATATAAAAAAAGAAGTTACCATGGTGCTAAGTTATGGAATACAGACCGTGGGTTGAGGATCGAAAACGTTCAATTCTGTGACCCACCAATCCGGGCTACCTGGCTTTTGCACAAAAATGTCAATACTATTAAATTGTAACATAATTTGATTGTCGGCAATCGTGAATTTGGGGAAACTGTAACCAAAAATGAGAATTTATATCAAAAGTTGCTACGTAACTATAGCCAATCAGAAGACGACTAACAATGAAGTTTGGCTAAGCTGCAAGGCCCTCAGCCAATCACAAACTACCTTCTATGCCGTTTGTCCAATGTAAATAGTAAACAACACACTCCACTTGCAAGTATGGCGTTGGCCAGAAGTTCTTCAAATGATAAATCTGAGCCGGTTTCAGGCATATTTTTGTGATAAGAGTATGGTTGTGTCATTAAGCGTAAACAGCTTAAAAGAAATTTAAGGATGTGCAACTCTGTGGAAAACAACAAATACGAGTCCTCAGTAAGGCCT